TAGAATAATATAAAATAATATAAAGTTTAACATTCCATGCTTGGATGTAAGGGTTGGATTTAATAAAACAATGTGGTTTACATTTGTGTACCTAGCTTTTGGGATTTAATTTGGACCTCCTCCAAAACTTATTAATTTTATTTAGATGTTATCATTAAATATAATTTTTTTCTTTAAATAGTTTTTTTTATGTTTAGAACCAAAATAATAATAATTTTTTTTATTGGATTCGACGATTTTTTTTTTAATTAATATTTTATTATACAGGGTATTCCATTAGTGCGTAATTGTTCAATATTTCATTTTGTGTGATAAATACGTAAACAAATTTCAAATACAAGTATGGATTTGAAAAAGGCACAATCAATTTAAAAAGTTTTAAGTAAAAGAATATACAGAGTTTTTCAAAACTTACTTGTTTTTGGTTTTGTAGATAAAAATGTTTTTTTTTTTTTTTTTTTTTTGACAAAAATTCTTGCCTTTCTTTTCGTATTCTAAATATCACGTATTATTTTCTGTTTTAATATAAAAAGAAATATTTTTATCAAATTTTTTTATTTTTGGAATAGAAAATGAAATTTTTGCTTTAGATTTTAATTTTTTTTAATATATTAATATATGTTTTTACTCAGAGCGGATAAGTTTCAAAATTTTTAATAAATTCTTTATTACTTCTCCATCTATCTATACAGAAAAGGAAAGTATAGGAATCATAATTTTTTTCGAACTCGAATTTTCGACAAATTTTTACGTTTTGGGGTTCCCTGAGAATCCGTTTTGACTATTTTCCCGATGATGTCTGTGTGTGTGTGTGTGTGTGTGGGTGTGTGTGTGCGTGTGTGTGTGCGTGCGTGTGTGCGTGCGTGCGTGTGTGTGTGTGTGTGTGTGTGTGTGTGTGTGTGTGTGTGTGTGTGTGTGTGTGTGTACGTGTGTGTGTGTGTGTACGTGTTTGTGTACGTGTGTGTGTACGTGTGTGTACGTGTTGGTGTACGTGTGTGTGTGTGAGTGTGTGTGTGTGTGCGTGTGTGTGTGTGTGTATGTGTGTTTGTGTGTGTTTGTGTGTGTGTGTGTGTGTGTGTGTGTGTGTGTGTGTGTGTGTGTGTGTGTGTGTCTGTATCCATGATAACTCATGAATGGATAACAAGGAAAGCACCAAATTTTTAACTTAAGCTTTATTCCGTTTTGCGATGAAATGATTAGATTTTGAGCAGAGTCAGAACATCTGGGGGGTACTTTATAGTGGGTCATTTTTATATTTTATGAAATATATCTGTTATTTACGTTTGAAGAAAAAAATTCTTCAAATAAAAGTTACTTTTCATATTATTCTCTATAATTTTTGTTTTATAGAAAATTTCCTAAAATGGCCCGTATTCGAAAAATTTGACAAAATGTAAAAAATCAAATTTTTATGAAAATTGTTTAATTAAAATCGTTTCCAATATAATTCTCTATAATGTTTATCCTACATATAATTTCTCTAAAATGGACCGTATTCCAGATATTTGAGAAAAAGTGTAAATTTCGCTTTTTAAAGAAAACTCAAAAAGAAATAATGAAAAACACATTAAATTTTAAACTTATGCTTTATTTCTGTCTGAGGTGAACAGATTAAATTTTGGACAGAGTCAAAACATCTGGGGGTACTTTATAGGGGGTTATTTTTATATTTTATGAAATATATGTTATTTACGTTTGGAGAAGAAAATTCTTTATATAAAGGTTACTTCTAATATTCTCTATAATTTTTGTTCCATTCAAAATTTGCCTAAAATGGTCCGTATTCGATAAATTTTTCAAAATGTAAAAAATTCTGTTTTTTAAGAAAATTGTTAAAGCTGAAAGATGTTTGCGATATTGATCTCTATAATTTTTGATTTTTACATGATTTTTCTAAAATGGACCGTAATGGAAAAATGTTTCGAGTTAGACGTATGTGGAAAATGTATATATTAAATTAACTTCTAAATATTTACAGAGGTGCTACAATAGGTTGTACAAAATAACCGAAAAAAGCCTGTAATAACTAGATAGGAAAGTCATGTGTTGGACATATCAGTTTTTTATGTAATAAATAAAGATACAATTGTCATTAATCATTTTATAGTTTATAAGGTGGGACTCAAAAAGTTTACACCATCTGAAATATTTTTTACGATTGCCTAAAATCAAATATTAATTTAGATTAAATAAAAAAATGTATCAAAAACGAAGTCAAAATAGCAAATTGTGCAACAAGTACACAAAGTCAAACTTTTCTTACGAGCGCAAAAATCAAATAAGCGATAAGAGTGCTTGTCGCATACTATAATTTTTCTACGATTACGCTTACATCTACATTGTTTTTTTTTTGGATAGTGATATTTTATCTGTGGTTAGAAACTTTTGAAATTCGAGTCCCATCAGGACCAGAATATTTTCTAATTAATATACAGGATGCCCCATTAAGAATAGAACAGAACAACTGAAAATTCTGTGATTAAAAATATTAAACGCAACAGGCTTAGATAAAAAATATAACACGTTTCCGAAATACAGGGTGTTGAAGTTGAAAATTCTCAGTATTATATTATTAAATTTAGAAAATCTTTTGGTGTCATAAGATACACATATCAGCAAAAAGTAAGTTAAATAAACTTTGCCAGTGGCATACGGCAGGGTAAAATTTGAAGGCACTGCAAAGAATTTTTTTATGTTTTTAAAATAAAACATAACCTCTTGTTATATTATATTATAAAGTGATTGATTTTTGAGATATTCGCACTCAAAGGTTTATACTTTTTATTTTAATTTGTTTTTAAATAGTTAAATTTTGTAATTTTGATTTTTATTTTATAAAAACTCCCAACTCATACAGCACAAACACATTTCGTAAATATTTCAACAATATTACATTGAAACATTTGCAATGTTGTATAAATATTACGAATCATCCCAGAAACATTTCTGAAATATGCCTGAAACGTAAAAATGTCCTAAATATATTATTTCACAGTAATATTTCTGAAATGAAAATTAGAAATCTTTCAGAAATATTAAATAGTAATATTTCAGGAATGTATTCTCTTTTTTTTTCTAATATATTATTAGACTAAAAAAAGACATATGCATGTTTATTTAAAATACACAAAACTCAAACATTGATTCTTAAACAAACAAATAAATAAATATGTTTTAAAGAATATTTTATAAAATATAGAAGTGAATTGCTTCATTTCCACCAATTACTTTAAATGCACTAATTTTAAACAACTAGGATCTTTTTAATAAATGCTCCAAGTAAAGAAACATTTACCATTATTATAATCTAATCATTAAGATTAATTAAAAAATTTTTTTTTACCTAACTTATCTAGGGATGAAAACTTCATAAACTAATATTCTAATCACTATATAGTGTACTTTAGAGTCTAATTATTTAGTTACACTACCGTTAACGTACAACACTTAACCGCACTATACTTTGTTTTAATCTAATATCACTGAACTAACTCAAAAGGTCTGTTTCTCTTGAGTCTTCTTATTAAATTGGAATTATTGAGGAGCTTAAGGTTTCCATGTTGGAGCAATCGTTGTTGGTTACTACTGGCAAAATTTTGTATTGTATTTTCAATAGTCTCCACTTTGAGGTCCCTATTTTCATATTTTCAAAATTTCTTATTAATTTTTGTTTTTTTATTTCAGCGAATTTCCGTAGAACAAATATTTAAATCGCCGCAAATATTTCGAGTTTATCGGTAGCACGATAGCAATGGTCTGACTTCATGTTCATTTCACCTCTGACAATAAAGACGTTTGATCTTAGAATATATGTCCTTTGATATCAATGTAGAACTTTGATTCACATTGTAGTCTCCGGATGTACCTTCCAGGATCAAATGGACAAGGCTGCAGTATATCTGCCCAGAGATGCATCTACGTATCAAAGGGTTGATATAGAATTAAACATGACACGATGATCGTTAATATCGTCGGGAATAGAAGATTTTTCCGGACGCGTGTTACGGGAAATAATGGATAAATTATGGAGAAGCGGATGGAAATATTTGGAACGTCAAACGGGATAGATTGTGGAGGAGAAATGAGTGACTTCAAATGGTGAGATTTTTAAATTAAATTAAATGTTTTCTATAATTATTAAATTAAAAACTAAATGTAATAAGTTTATTTTTCATTATGTTCTGAATATTCTTTTACTTAATTTATGATTAACTTTAATATTTATATTATTTATTATATTTTTTTTTTTTAGGAGCAATAAGCGGCTTTAAATGGTGAGTCTTTTGATTTACATTTAACTTTTTCTGTGAACAATTATTAGTTTTTTCATAATTTTTATAACAAAAAATATAATCAAACGTAATATTAAATTCTTTGAAAGTCCACACGCAAATAAATTGCAAAATCACCCATATGAAATAATAAACATTATTTTTGAACCCCCTAAGTGAAAATAATTTTAATGAACTATTCGTAGATATTCGTATATAGGTAGATTTTCTGGATCTATTAAATAAAATTTTGTGCATAAACAAAGCACAATCTCCATGAAATAGAAATGTAAAGTCCACGCCAAGTCACAAATGTCAAACTTTCAAAAACGTTCAATATTGAAAATTAAAACTCCGTAGTATAATATACTTTTACTCCGACCACTTTGTTGAAGCTATTTATTGCATAAATTAGATGACATATCATGTGTATACCAAACTCTGATAGCTATCCCAAAAAGTGCCCTCGTTCGTCACCATCACATGAAAGCTACCTATCCCAATGTTCAGGTAACAAGGTTGATGCAAAGGTGACGTCATAATGTCAGGAGTTCTACACACTGCATTTTGTGTGATAAAAAACCTCTGTCACTTGTCTATTGACATTCAACTTAAGGCTTAGTCACACTTAAGAGTTATTTATATAATAATAAGGATTTACATATAGGTAAAGTTGTTTTATGAATTGGGATAATAGTGTTATAAGTAAAAACAAATTTTTTTTTTATTAAAAAATGATAGGTACATTATTATTTTATAAATTCATTTAAAGTTTCATCCCAAAAGTCAATTATATCCTTTTTGTAATTATATTCAACTTTGACATCATCTTTTATGGCTAAATACGAAATATTATTATTATCAGTAATCGGCGGCCATATTGTTCCTATTGCTGGATCAAAAGTCGGAGTTGGATTCCTGAAAACAAACAATAATGAAGTAATGCGGTTTCATTCATTTATTCATTACTTTTGTCGCCACATTTGTCAAAAGGCCAACAACTTGTCATAATTTCAATTATTCATTGTTATTATCATCACAAAACCTTTAACAAACATTTTAATTGTAGTTTCAAGGCGTCAACGTCAAATGTCAAAAATGTCACATTTTTTAATTTATTGGTTATAAAATTTTAATTACCCTGTAGTTGCAAAATTTTTCCACAGCTGTAGAAACTTCTTCTGAATAAAAAGACTTTGCGGTGGTGTCCCTAAATGACTGTAAATCCAAATTAAAGGGACGTCTTCGCCATGAGTTACTCCTGAAAATTATATCACTACATAAAAAAATTTTTTGAGTACATATTAAACGGGTATTTCAAATAATTGAAAATAAGATGGAATACTATTATACAGTGTTTAACAAATTATAGAAATAATAGTCAGACTCGAGTATCATTCTACTATTATTATTATTATTATTGCCTGACCTCCTAACCATGACGTTAAATTGGTCCTTCGAGATAAAAAGGATGTTTTGGAAGCAGAGGCGGCTCGTGACCAAAATTTTGGAGGTTCATAGTAGCAGAATATAGATTCCGGTACAGATATAGGTAAAAAACTGTCAGTGTTTTAGAAAGGGATGTTATAAACTTTCTAAAATACTGAAAGTTTTTTTATACATCTGTACTGATACCTATATTCTGTCACTGTGAACCACCCCACGAGCCGCCACTGTTTGGAAGATGTACAAGACAATATGTGATAGAACCACATAAAATCAAAGTATGTGGATAGAACCAACTGCGCTCTGACAAGAAAGTTGGAAAATGTTTCAAAACAATGAAAATAATGACACACGAGTCCAAAATGAATGAAGTCAATGTCAAGAAAAAGTCAAAGCAAGTGTCAGTATGTAGGTCTTCGAAGAAAATATTAGCATTACAAGTCGAACTTGAAGCCATGAAAGGGTTGACAGATTGAAAAAAAAAATAAATTAGAAGAACAGAAAATGGGGTAACGGCAACAAATACAGTTAGAACTACAGAACTTAAAGTCGCTGAACTGGATAAAGTCCGTACAAAGAAAGAAGAGAAACCCAAAGTCTTTAAATCGTTATATGTTAAGAAATGGATAAAAGATATGGAAGAAAAAAATAATCTTAATTAGAATCTACCTTCAGACAGAAGAATAGGAAAAATAGTCTAAATTATGATAAGAATATTGATGTTTCACCAGTGGATACTGTTATTGTTATCTATTTCGGAAAAAGAAAACTTGAATGTCTTTTCGTAATACTTTAATCAAAAAATTATTTTATATTCTATCAATATTGAAAAAACCTTAACTACTAGAACAAAAGCAAAATACAAATCAAGTAATAGTCTGTAGATAATAAGGGTATGTAAATGTAGATACATCAATACCTTCTCTCATTGAATAATTTATTATCTTCTATTATTAGGCCAGTGTTCTTCATTAAATATTCGAGCCTGGGTCTTGAAAGAGGTTTTGTCATCATACCAACTAATTGATGTTCTGAATCAACCTTCTCTACGTTAATGGAGCTTTCGGTTACAAATTCTCGAACAAAAAATTTCTTATTTGGATATTTTTGGTTCTTCTATGATATTCCGGATTTTTAGCTAACCTAATAGCTGCTTCATTATCAACTGGTGTATCCGGAATACACTGCATATCAACTATTTCGTTATAAAGACGTTTTAGCCAAATTAATTCTCAAGCTACTTTACTGGCGGCTACTATTTCTGCCTCTGTTGTAGAAAGAGCTACATATGTATGCTTTTGGCTTAACCAAGAGATAGCACCATTGGTATACTTGCAGACAACACCCGTAGTTGACTTTCCTGTTTGATCATTTCCTCCATAGTGGGCATCACTGTAACCTTGTAGGTGGGTCTTCTTACTATTACTTGTGTACGTAATTCCAAGTTCCATTGTACCTTTAAGATATCTAATAATCCTCTTCACTTGCATCCAGTCATTGTGAGTTGGTTTTTCTAGTGAACTTGATACAATTCCGATGGCATACGCAATATCTGGCCTAGTTCCTACCATAAGGTACATTAGGGCTCCAACCGCTTGCCTATAAGGAAATTTTTCTTCTTCATTTTGATCTACCTTCCCTGGTTGGTTAGTTCCTTTGACAATTGGTGTAGACACAGCTCTACAGTTTTGCATTCCAAAGTGATCTAAAATTTTCTTTATATAATCTGTCTGACTAACACGAATAGAACCATTTTTGTCAATGTCAATTTCCAACCCCATAAAATAGGAAGCTGTCTTCGCTGTAATTTTAAATTCTTTCTCCAAATTCATATAAAATTTCTTTTCCAAAATGTTATTACTTGTTGCCAAAAGACCGTCATCAACATAAAGACCTACTTGGATATCTGTCTTTTGTTTTTTGATAAACAAGCATGGATCTGCATTACTATGTTTAAAATGTTGTTTTAGAAGGAAGCCTACGATTCTCTTATTCCAACATCTTGGTGCCTGCTTGAGTCCATAAAGACTGTGTTAAGACATCATACTTTACTGGTTTCATCTTAATATTTCTCCAGCTGTTTCATGTACACTTATTCTTCTAAGTGTTCATGTCCATACAGAAATGCGGTGCAGACATCAAACTCACAGCAATACTTAGAAGAGCTCTTATAGTCCCCGATTTAGCAACAGGACTTAATGTTTGATCGTAGTCTTCGCCGTATTTCTGAGATAATCCTTTTATCACTAGTCGGGTGTTGAATTTTTCGATAGAACCATCCGGATTTGTTTTAATTTTACACGCAATGCCATTAGGCATTAGGCAGATTTTGCAGAACCCAAGTGTCATTTTCTGACAAGGAGCTTATATCTTTGGCCATTGCATCTTTCCACATATGACTAAGATCGCTTTGTATAGCTTCTTGAAAGTTTTGTGGTAGTGCTTTTTATTCTACAAATGTTGCATAGGCCTCCATTACAAAATTTTCAAACATAGTTGATGGTTTTATCTCTTCACGATTCCTCAACTGTCTTTTTTCAATCAAAGGTCTTTGTTCTGAACTTTTTACGTCTATATCGTCTTCCTATATTTCTTCAGTGCCTAATTTAATTGTTCTCGAAGCAACTTTCTAAGTTTAATTGTTCATCTTCCACACCTTCAATTTGTGTTTCTCTTCGGATCTTCGATAATTCATTCAATCTGACTAAAGGTTGTTCTTCTTTAGATCGTATGAATTGCTTAGTTTCTTTACACTATATGCGATATTATTATTGTTGTCATAGCCAAGCAATATGCCTTTTAAAGCTTTCTTGTCCATTTTCTTGCGACGTGGTTTTATTATGTGTGCATATCAGGTACACCCTATAACTCTTAAGTGCTTTAGGTTCGATTTTTTTTTTCATCCAAACTTCAAAGGGAGATTTATTTCTCTTAATAGAGACACCTGATCTGTTTAGGATATATGCGGCAGTATTTATTAATTGTCTGTGAGTAATCTACTACCCTTCTTTTTTATGATGTTCATTTTTAGTAATTGGGACTTGAGCTCTTCAAGGTGAGGTACTTAACTCTATTATTCCTTCACCAAGGAGTTTTTGGATTTCTTCAGGTATACATTTTTTATCGTCATAAGAATGTTTTATGGATCTTGTAGCTATTGGCGTACAGTTAGATTAGTAAATAGATTTTGTGGTTCGACTTTGGCTAAAGGCAAACCACATATTGTTAATGCTGGTCTATGACCACCAAAGTCGAGTTCGACCTTAGAATAGTTTTGAAGGATATCATGTCCAATTATGACGTCAGCACAGAGATTTTTAAGTATAGATAGCTTTTTATTTTTATCATGATATTTCCTTAAATCCAAGTTAACGAAACAGTGATCAGTTATGTCTGAGCTTAGAGCAGTAGAAGCCATTGATATTTTATAATTACTTGGTAGTATTTATAATTTAATATCTTTAACAAAATGTTCATCAATGTAGGGCTCGGAACTGCCAATATCTATGAGGGCGTGAGCTGGGATATTATTGATCTTAACTTTTATCAATGAGTTTGAAAGACATTGTGGAGCAGCCGCAATTAAACCAGTCGTGTGTAAAAGTGAAGCTGACGTGGACCTATTTTTAAGCTTTTTGCTCATACATACGTTTGAGAAATTACCTCTTTTGCCACATTCTTTACATGTTTGATCTGTAGCAGGACAAGTGAATCGAGTATATTTTTTGTTTCCACAAAAATAATACCTATACCTTTTTAAGGCCGCAACTGGTTGTGGAATTGGATCAGTAGATAATGTCTGTTAAGTGATTGGATCAGTAGATGATGTCTGTTAAGTGATTGGATCAGTAGATGATGTCTGTTAAGTGATTGGATCGTTGATTTCATTTGATACAGTAGAGGCAAGACTTAATGGAGATACATAAGCACTGGAATATTGTTGAGCAGCTTCTAGAGATTGAGCTTTACTCACAGCATCGGCAAGACTTAAGTTATTATTTTCTAAGAGGCGTTGTCAAATTTGGGCACAAATAATTCCGTTAATAAAGGCATCTGGAATGTATTAACTTTTATTTTCTTCAGCAGTTACTGCTTTAAAATTGTAATCTTTGCTTAATTGTTCGAGACTTCTTACATACTGATCAATAGGCTCTCCAGGAAGTTACTTTCTAGTTGACAACCTATGCCAGTGGTTCCATTCCTGAGTTGCACGTGGTGAATTTCAAATTTCTCGGTCTTTAGTAACTTATCCATTCTGTTCAATAAATTGTAATGAAAATACCTTCTGAAATAAAGCTTTATTGAACATAATTTTAGTGACGGTAACCAATATGACAATTCTATAAAAACGAATAAATAAACCATACAGGATGTACAAAACTAATGTAAGAAACACGAACACAGTTTTTCATTACAAAGTCGACAATTCATTAACAAGGATTTGCCGTATTCATGTAACCCTATACCCAAAATGAACGTTTTTCAGGACTTTTCTAGAATTCATTGAGTATACCTTTCAATTAAACCATATCTAAATATGTACCTATACTTATGAGTATTTTCAAGTCAATTCGTATAAAAATAAGTTCATAATTTGCTCTTTAAATAATTATACTATAAACGAAATCAATTTGTATCTAAATAATTTGACGGTATATTTGGGTACTCACCGTTTGTTTTAGGATCTATAGGAAATTTGGAAGCTTCTAAAAATAATTTGGCATATTTTTCTTGATGATCATTAACAAAAAAGTAGACTGGTATGTGCGGAGACAATAATCTAGCAGTTCTAGTAATTGGAATCAGAAATATAAGATGCGTAAAAAACTAAAAAAAAAAAAAAATACCTACATTAAAGCGTTATGAATGATGGATGACTACATATTACTATTATAATTCAACAATGTTATAATCGTTTTTGTAAGAAATAGTTTTATAAAAAACGTAATTACAGTGATTAATTCATGATTGGCACTTCCTGAAATTGATTTCGATGCGAAATACTTCTCTAGCAATCTTTTACCAATACGACGGTTCTCCTGAAACGACGACTTCTTTATCTTTCCATTGGGAACCGAACTGGGGCTTATATCCAAATAAACAAGCAGCGGTTTTATTAGGTAGAACACTACAAAAAAAGTCAACATCGTTAAATAACCAGAAAAGATACTAATATTAAATAATTACAATATTCGACGTCAATCTCACGAAGTGACCTATCTCGTTTTTGCTAATTTTACAGGAGAGCAATATAAAGTTTTGTGCTGCGTTTAAGTAATAGTCCAGGAACTGAAGACCTGAAAATATGCAAAGCTGTCATTAAGTCGGTCCAGATTTACTTTGTGGCTCAATTCTTAGGTCTTGACGGCCCCTAAATTCCGAAAAAATGGTTTCCCGCTAATATCTGCCAAAATATACAAATAAGATGATAGGTACCATTTTTGTAGATAATGATAAGATCTTTCTTTTTTATCTAATCAAAAATTCTCTAATTTGCATATTGTGGAAGATATTGGCGGGAAACCAGTTTTAGGGTCCATTTTGGGCCCTATCCGACGCAGCAGAGTTGGTAAAAGTTTTCGATCTTGGAAGCGACCGCCGAGACCTAAGAGTTGAGCCACAACGGAAATCTGGACCGACTTAATGACAGGTTGGTCCCTTCAGTTACTGGACTATAAGGAGATACGTCCCTTACATATGTTTCTATTACTATGTAACGGTTACAGCTTGAGTTACGCCACTTTGTGAAAAGGAAGATTTATAAAAATAAAGTATTTCTGCAGTTGTATCTTAAAAACTGCATTTTTCGAGATATATCAATTTTGTGTCGACGAATATGTGTTTGAGACAAATTACTTATAACTTATCACCATCGAGATAGAATGAAGTACAACAATATAAACACGGAAAATTGCAATCAAAACTTGTAGTCGTAATTTGATTAATTTAAAGTCAATCATTTTCTATTTAAAGATTGACGGAATGAAAATGTTTTTATTTCATTCAAATGAAGCTATTTAAAAAAAATTACTAGCTCATAGCTCAAGGTACGAGTAGTAAGACATATGACGTAAAAGTGTAATGCAACTTTTAGTAACGTCTTTATTATATCTTAATGGTTATTACTGAGTTTTTTTTAAGGTTATGTTGCTATTACGTTTTGCGAACAAACCAGCTTCCATACTAGCGGTTCCAATCATCAGAGGCACTTTTGCGATGTCACCTTTTTTTAACGTTTCATAGGATGGTTCTGTATAAAATGCTTCAGGAATGTCAGGTTCAACGCTAGGACAGAATGACACACCGCTGCTAAAAATAGTTGTAGAGTACTAAAAAATATTAAAATAATGTTTTCTGCAAATATGAGGCACTATTATTTTTCTACGACTACATTTACTAAAGGTCGTAAAATTTATCTGTATAGTAGACACGAAATTCTGTGAGAATAGGCAGAGATTGTTGTATAAGTATTTATTTACCTACTTACATGAAGTTATAAATAAATATATACAACTATATAGACGAGTTTGGTTGAAGCAACAGACTTTAAAAAATTTGCATTATATAAAAAGCTAATTATTTTGGATATGGGGCCGTTCAAATATTACTTAAGATTTATTACAATTATTTACCCCCCATCCGCCTTATCAGCAAAAGTAAGCAAAGCTCTTACCCCCTCCTCCCATGCTTACGTAAACATTTTTCAATAATAAATGTATTATTTTTATATTATAATTATAATGTTATAATTATAATTTTAAAAATAAGAAAATAGATTTAGGATAGAGATTAAATTTTACTGATACAGTATTCAACATAGAGTAAGGGACAAAAATATTATAATCTTACGAACATAACAAACTTATTTTAAATTTTTCGTACACATTATAAATTCAAATTAATAGACTTCAGTCCATGAAATCCGAATCCATGATTCTAAGTTTTCGATGACATTGGATTGCTTGGATTGCTGCTCAGTATTGTGAGTCTGCTCACTTTCATTCGATTTTGGAATGTCTACGTTGTCCTCATCGAGCCATTCAACATCATGGTGCTCTAAATTTTGAATAATGCTCTTCAGTTCATTAGCACGACGAGCCGCGACTCTTAGAGGTCTAACTTTCCTATCAGTATGCGTGTTTACTTTTTTATGGATCTTCTCGATGTATCGATTTAGTGACTTGACGGAAGCATGATAAAGACCACACGTTTTGCATGTTCAACTTGATAGCCTCAATTTTACCATTGGACAAAAATAAGCGTAAAGTATTTGCAGGAAATCTTTGAGTGAAGCACTTAACCGTAGAGCTAAATTGACTGGAAGGTCAAGAAATTGGCCTCCTTCATCCAAAACCAAGTCATCAACTGTTTGTTTTACTTTTACAAGTGGTGGAAGAAGCCTGTTATCTAGTAATCTGAATAGGCCACTTCTTGGACGACAGCATTCTGTATTTCTACATTTTACAATTTGAAGCAAGTATTGGCCTTCACGCACATGTTCTGAATACCATTTAATGTCTGGAAAATCAGGAAGATCTTGTTCATCTGCCTCAACATATCTTGCTGTAACATTATAGCCATCAATTTCCATTGAACTCCATACTTCGGCTAATACATTTCCTGCAAATTCTAAATTAGATCTTTCTAAATGTTCATCAATTGTAACGCCACGTTCATCCAAATGAGACCCAAAATGGTAATGAGGCAATATTAAACCAGCCAGTTCCCGACTAAGAGGAGCCATTCTGCGCTCTACTCTGTTATACGCACTTCTTCCAGGAGCATTGGTAGCTAAAAACATTGCATCGAGATCATGCCGCTTAAAGTGTTGTATAGCAAGCCCTATGACTTTTTGATAACGCGGATTTTCATCTGGCCCTCCATCAACCGTCATGATTATCACTGGTTTTACCAGTCTATGGTCAGTTTTAGCTAATGGTCGAAACTCTTCAAGTTCGAGAAGCGTCTCGAAATCCTGAGCATGAGTATTAGCAGTAGATGAACTATGCTTTCCACTTCGAATAGCGATGTATAGTGGTCCAGAACATACAACGGCTTGCGGTTGTCCTAGCATACTGGAAGTGATTTTGATACCAGCATAAATAGATTGTATTAATTTATGACGCTCAGCGACTACCCAATCGTGGTCAGGCAATTTTATTCTATATTCCATGTGGATTAGAAGAGGTGCTTGTTTATTTGCCGCAGTTACGCCAATAGGGACTCGAGCTTTATGATCTTAAAATATAAAAAATACTTGATCTGGTCCAAGTATGGATGCAATGTTCTCTAAATAATGGATTGATGTTTCAGCGAACTTGCTATCTATGTGGTTCTTGTGGTGATCAGTTTGAGCCCGAATGAGCTTAACAGAAACAGTCGATACATGTCTTCGTCCCTCTGCAGAATTAGATTTTCTGGAAATCAAACGAAGATATGTCCCACTGCGACTAATGTCAAATCCTATTTTACGTAATTCTTGTGTGAGTTCACCAAGAGTTTTTACGTTGCGAATAGATTTCGTTCGTCTTCTATCATCTGCTGCACTCCCAAATAAAGCTATATCCGCAATTGTTTTCAATAGTGATGGTTAATTGCTTTCAAGATTAGGATGTTCCATTGAATCTCTCAGAGATACTTTTTTTTATTCCTGGATTTTCATGACAAACATCTTCTAACTTTCTTTTCATACCATCCCTGTGTTTCTTCTGGGCAACTGCGTTTTGAATCTTCCTGTTTAAAGACTGTTTTGCTGTTTTTATTTCCTCGCGCAACTTAATGATCTGTTTATCAACTTCAGCACGGCTTGGTATAGTATCTCTGGCAGAATACCAAGCATTCAGATTTTTTTCGAGTAGAGCAATCTAATTTTTCATAGCTTCCTGAGAAGGTTTTGCTCTCTGTTTATCTGCATTATCATTATTTTCGCATTGCTGTTGTGATTCATTACCGGGTTTTATTTTATCTTCTTCCTGTTTTTTAATATTTGAAGCTGGCTATATAATTTGTGTTTTTTCTGCAGGTTTACAGGTAGTCGTTTCCTAAAAATAAAAACTTTCTATGGGTTCTGCTAAAGATTCTCATATTAAGCTACATAAATACAAAGTATGCAATAGAAAACTGCATTTAAAGATTATTTAAACTGTGGCTTTAAATAATCTTTAAAGCTGGGAATCGAACCCATCACATACAGAAAAGTAACACCCTGTATTTTGTGACCAATTGACGGAGTCAGTCTTAAGAAATAAATCTATATAATGAATATTACCTCTATACTTTGAGGTAGGCCATAATCATAATATTTTTTAATCATAAAACGTCTAAATTATTGTTACAAAATGTAAAGAGAAACTTTTTGGCTATTTATAATGTTTCTAGTACTCATAGGTACCTAAAATGATTTCGTCACTCACCTTGGAAATAAAAGGTAGTGGATTGGATTTATTCTTTAGTCTTAGTCGCCACTTGCAATTCTTCTTCAATTCTCTTAGATACAATACTATCTAGTTCCTTGTCAGACTTTGCTTGTAATTTATAATTTCGTCACACTTCATTGACTAACTTTTGTACATTTTGTACTTTCGTAATTGTATGAGATTTTTTAAAACTTTCGAACAATTTTTGGTATAACTTGGATTTGTCTATTTGAATCGACATCTTATTTAAACATTAAACTTTGGCTAATGGAATCAACGGTAACACAAATGTTTGCTTTGCTATGCTTGCAATACGTCTACTCGCTATAGTATCCAAACGAAACAATACACTGACAGAGGAAATTTAGACAAGTGAATAGCGCGCGGTAATTCCCCTACTCGGTTCTAAAGCGAGTGCCTAAACGTATGCATTATTTGCGGGAATCCCCGAAAATGCGTTTCATTTTCAAGCATAGACAATGTGAGGGTTGCCATTCGTGTAAAAAGTAAATAAGTACCGATGGCGTAATTATCATCTAGACTCCCCTACCCTCCATGTCATCCAAAATAAGCAAAACAAAGACCCCCTCGCCCCCCCCATAGTGCTTACGTAATACTTGAACGGCCCCTATGTTGAGATTGCAGTTTTGAAAAAAATACAATATTACTAGGAAAATCCAAATGGTAGTAGATATCAGAAAAAAGAAAAAAATAGATGTACTTGGTATCCATCTGATGTAGATCTTATAGCAGATTTTCGTGTCTACCATACTCAATATTTACTACGTTAAAGCAAACACTTTACTTACTACTAGTACAGTCATCATTTGAGCAGAAGTCAATTGTTTGGCATCTACCATACGAAGTCGTTCTATAACTTCGGTGGTATTGTCAGTATTAATACCAAGACTAGCTGCCAGATCTAAGGCTGTAGATTTCGCTTGTTTCTGTTCCCCCCATACACTTGTGGTATCTCCACTCCAAGCTAAATAAAAAAACATTTAATGTGAAATAGTAATAACAATATAGCAAAATCGTTGGAAAAACTCTACATCTAACCTTAGAGCAGTGAAACCTTGAGTAAAATCTTGGCAAGAATTTTTCAAAGACCAAAACACTCCGTTAAGACTGGGACATACAAAATAACACACGCTCATTTAATAAATAAAAAAACAGAAGCAAAATGTGAACTTTGTGATGTAAAACCAACTGTAGAACCTTTTAAAATAACTTTCCCAAAATATAACCAAGAACAGACTAGATATAATAGTCCTTTCACGTTGGATCAAGCACTTAATAAAACTTATTTCTTGATTACCCTAAATTTGTGAATATATGGTACTTCCACTCTAATTGTTTGAAATTTAATATTTAACTTACCTATCGCTCTACTGAACAATCCACGACTTTTTGGTGCAATCATATGATGGAGTACACTGGAAGCGCCAGCGCTATGTCCAGAGATAGTCACTTTGGTAGGATCACCACCAAATTGCTTTATATTGGCATTTATCCATCGTAGAGCCGCGTTTTGATCTTTCAAGCCGTAATTTCCAGGAGATGCTTCGTCTTCTGTACTTAAAAATCCTAAAATTAAACCGTTTCTTACACATGGTCGTTCAAATTAGCTTAAATTAATTTCTAGAGCTGATAAACTATATGTAATACCCCAATAAACTCTCTATTTTTAGCAAATAGGATAAAATGAAAAATTAGTAAAGGACTAAGTGCGAAAACGATCCCTCTCCTCTAATTACACCCTTATTTCTAAATTTTTTTATTTGCGAAACATTAACTATGCATTATCTTTTATCACAGTTATTTAAACATTTTTGAAATGGCCCTATTTCGTTTACAATACGTGTTGCGCGTGTGCACCAACCACTTTCAGTAGATCATCAACGTTTGTACTACTTCCAAAAGTCAACGCAAGATGGAGCCAGCTCTCGATACATTTCTATGCATTTCTATGAATTTCTATGAATTTCTATGAATTTCTATAAATTTCTATGAATTTCTATGAATTTCTATGAATTTCTATGAATTTCTATGAATTTCTATGAATTTCTATGAATTTCTATGAATTTCTATGAATTTCTATGAATTTCTATGAATTTCTATGAATTTCTATGAATTTCTATGAATTTCTATGAATTTCTATGAATTTCTATGAATTTCTATGAATTTCTATGAATTTCTATGAATTTCTATGAATTTCTATGAATTTCTATGAATTTCTATGAATTTCTATGAATTTCTATGAATTTCTATGAATTTCTATGAATTTCTATGAATTTCTATGAATTTCTATGAATTTCTATGAATTTCTATGAATTTCTATGAATTTCTATGAATTTCTATGAATTTCTATGAATTTCTATGAATTTCTATGAATTTCTATGAATTTCTATGAATTTCTATGAATTTCTATGAATTTCTATGAATTTCTATGAATTTCTATGAATTTCTATGAATTTCTATGAATTTCTATGAATTTCTATGAATTTCTATGAATTTCTATGAATTTCTATGAATTTCTATGAATTTCTATGAATTTCTATGAATTTCTATGAATTTCTATGAATTTCTATGAATTTCTATGAATTTCTATGAATTTCTATGAATTTCTATGAATTTCTATGAATTTCTATGAATTTCTATAAATTTCTATGAATTTCTATAAATTTCTATGAATTTCTATGAATTTCTATGAATTTCTATGAATTTCTATGAATTTCTATGAATTTCTATAAATTTCTATGAATTTCTATGAATTTCTATGAATTTCTATGAATTTCTATGAATTTCTATGAATTTCTATGAATTTCTATGAATTTCTATGAATTTCTATGAATTTCTATGAATTTCTATGAATTTCTATGAATTTCTATGAATTTCTATGAATTTCTATGAATTTCTATGAATTTCTATGAATTTCTATGAATTTCTATGAATTTCTATGAATTTCTATGAATTTCTATGAATTTCTATGAATTTCTATGAATTTCTATGAATTTCTATGAATTTCTATGAATTTCTATGAATTTCTATGAATTTCTATGAATTTCTATGAATTTCTATGAATTTCTATGAATTTCTATGAATTTCTATGAATTTCTATGAATTTCTATGAATTTCTATGAATTTCTATGAATTTCTATGAATTTCTATGAATTTCTATGAATTTCTATGAATTTCTATGAATTTCTATGAATTTCTATGAATTTCTATGAATTTCTATGAATTTCTATGAATTTCTATGAATTTCTATGAATTTCTATGAATTTCTATGAATTTCTATGAATTTCTATGAATTTCTATGAATTTCTATGAATTTCTATGAATTTCTATGAATTTCTATGAATTTCTATGAATTTCTATGAATTTCTATGAATTTCTATGAATTTCTATGAATTTCTATGAATTTCTATGAATTTCTATGAATTTCTATGAATTTCTATGAATTTCTATGAATTTCTATGAATTTCTATGAATTTCTATGGATTTCTATGAATTTCTATGAATTTCTATGGATTTCTATGAATTTCTATGAATTTCTATGAATTTCTATGAATTTCTATGAATTTCTATGAATTTCTATGAATTTCTATGAATTTCTATGAATTTCTATGAATTTCTATGAATTTCTATGAATTTTTATGAATTTCTATGAATTTCTATGAATTTCTATGAATTTCTATGAATTTCTATGAATTTCTATGAATTTCTATGAATTTCTATGAATTTCTATGAATTTCTATGAATTTCTATGAATTTCTATGAATTTCTATGAATTTCTATGAATTTCTATGAATTTCTATGAATTTATATGAATTTCTATGAATTTCTATGAATTTCTATGAATTTCTATGAATTTCTATGAATTTCTATGAATTTCTATGAATTTCTATGAATTTCTATGAATTTCTATGAATTTCTATGAATTTCTATGAATTTCTATGAATTTCTATGAATTTCTATAAATTTCTATGAATTTCTATGAATTTCTATGAATTTCTATGAATTTCTATGAATTTCTATGAATTTCTATGAATTTCTATGAATTTCTATGAATTTCTATGAATTTCTATGAATTTCTATGAATTTCTATGAATTTCTATGAATTTCTATGAATTTCTATGAATTTCTATGAATTTCTATGAATTTCTATGAATTTCTATGAATTTCTATGAATTTTTATGAATAAGCAGGACATATTTTTTGAAATGTGCCCGTGCAGAGTAGCCTGAGGTCTAAGAGGAGAAAAACAAGACAGCAAGACATTTATTTATTTAATATTTAAAAATTAAAATTTCATTTGCATTAAAGACTGTAAATTTTTAGGAATGAATTAAACGTAGATATTTTTTTTTATTGGAAAATAATAACTGGTTTCTCAATTTTCTATATAATATACCTAATCCTTTGAATCATACTGTATGTGGGGGGGGGGGTTCCGCTGGAATCTATTGGAAGTTGAGTTTTTTAAGTAAAAAACGAGATAGAATTGACTTGAGGGCGAAACAAAAAAAGCATAAGCGTTATGTTGAGGAAGGAAGAACCTGAGCCTAGTTAATGAAATCGTGATGGGATACTGTTAATCTTGATAGTAGTTCTAAGGGTATTAATATCTAATAGGCAAAGTTTAATGGAATTAATTCGGCTTACCAAAAGCACCTAATCTGTAGTTAAAGGTTACTACTACTAAATTTTTGTCCAAAAGATTATATGGTCCGTAAAGGGCAGCTAATCCCTCTATAAATCCGCCTCCGTATATCCAAACGATGACTGGTAGGAGACCATCTTTAGAAATTTTCCTCTTAAAAATACAGAAATTTTTTTATTCTAATTGATATTAACAAAACTAAAAAATTTGTGACGAATGGTAAACAATTGTTACTTTTATATACAAATGGATATTTTTTTAAGCTATTCTTTGATTCGGAATCTACTCAATTAGACCTAGAAAAAGGTTTCCACTGATGCAATATTCATTTTTTATTGGAAAATCTTGACTATCAGGTATACAAATTAAATAATTATGTGATATTCTGTTCCTTATTTATTTTTAATGCCAATAATTTAATAATATAAAACTACTGATGTTTCATTAATGAAGCAAATCACTTTTTAATGAAAGGTCAACTCTATAATTAAGTAACTAATTTTCTGTTATGCACAATAATTATAACATTAAAAAAAAATGTAATTTTACGTGTTTACCCGATAATAAAAGTGCTTTTTCTGTTCCTATTTTTATCTATTCGATAATGTGATAAGTAATAGATATAATTATTTTCGAAATTTAGGAGACTTACGTTTTTAGGAGTGTATACATTCAAATAGAGACAATCTTCAGACCCTGGCGTGTATATTTCAATAAATCGTATCCTAATTTCAATGCAACCTTCGCTTAGGTCTGTGGCATTTAAGACTCCCCTCCAAGGTTTAACAGGTTGCGGACTCTAAAAATCATATATACACTTATAATTGGAGGTGAAGATATTTTTTCTTTTTTGGCAAAACAAAGGATATCGTATAAAAACACGTTTAACGGCGACCCAGGGACGGACTATATTTTACGCTTTATAGATGAAATGTTGTACGTATTTAAATATTATCACAAAAACTCAAATTCGATAAACAACCGCGAACAAGAACTTTTTTATTATTATTAAAGATGTTTGCCTACTTAACTATTTACAATTTTGTTCTGAAAATTAATTAAAGTAATATAAAATAAGGAGCGAAACAATTAAGTGTAGATGGATACATAAAATGTACCCATTTAAAATAAATAAATAATAATCGTAATTTTCCAATTTTCATTTTTAAAAATACAAAAAAATGCTTTCATCGGTGGGGATTGAACCCGCGTCGCGATGTGGTCGAAACAAAGCAGAGGATTAGAAATTATCTACCTAAATATTGTTTTTGGTATCCAATTTATTTCAACTCAACTTTAACAACAATTATTCAACTGATAACATTAACATGTAACGTCTATCATAAAACTGAAAACTGACGTCAGGATCATCCTTATATAGCTTGCTTGACCCCTCTCGAACCTTCTCGACCTGTCATCTAGAATATTCTTGATGGGTAGGGGAAAGTGCCCTACAGTGGGACATTTTTTTTATTTCGTCAATAACTTTTAAAGTTTTCGTGTAAAAAAAATAAAAAATACCAATTAAGTAACTCTTGCATAGACAAATAATTCTGGCAATATTTTTTATTAAATCAAATGGGAAATAGGTAATAATAATTTTTTATTTTATTAAAAAATTGTCTCACTGTTGGGCACTCTTGCCCAAGGGTGAGACATGCGGTGTCCAACAATGAGACAATGGTTCTTTGGGTGGGACATAGGAAAAATAACAGTGTAAAATATTTTTTGTCATTTTATTAGGTACAGAAACAATTAACGAACTTCAAAATTGTCAAAATTAACATGAAAAGTTAGGTATGCATGTTGTCATCTAGTTTGACCAAAATAAGTCGGTTTGGGTAAAATGGCACTTATATCACTATTTTGGACAGAACAAATGTCGGGTACCTGCGGATAAGTAAATTTATTTTGTTGCGCCAGTCTACGGAGGAAACTTATTTCTGTTTCCCCATCACCCCCCCCTTAATCACTTTACCTACATAGTAAATATTTGAAGATTTTGCCTTAAAACATGCTAATACGTAATCATCTGCTTTTGGCTGTTTTTCTAACTTATTTAGAACTAGATCTTCTCGTTCATTAGATTCGTATTCATCTGAAGTATTTTCCTTATCATAAAATTCATCACTGGATTCTTCACTAGAATCCTTTAAAATTTAATTTTTTTTATGTTCTGGTATCTTTTTTGTCTTACAGCTTTGACTAATATTTCGTATAGTTGTTTTTTGCTTTTGCAACTTTTTCTGTCTTTCCAGAAAGTTTTCTTCGATTTCATTTTTCTCTAGGGTGTCAGTGGCTATCATACATTTTCCTTTTTTTCTTTGTTTCCTTATCTTTCCTTTGTCGACAGTTTTCTTTGGATATCCTCTAAATATATCGGGAGAGATAAAATTAAGTTTTGGTTGATTTTCCTGATCCACTAATTGTTGTTTCGATGTACTTGGCGTAGATTGGATTTCAAGAGACAAATTTTCTTGTAGAGTTGATATATGACTATTTTGACCAGAAGTTGGTTTTAGAACCTTGTCAGAAATTTCAATCATTTCAGCAGTTGTCTGAATTTCATGAATTTCTACGGTTGGAATCGCATTAGCGGCAGCAGTTTCCTGAATTTGATTAATTTCAGTAGTTGTCTGGATTTCATTAATTTCAATCATTTTAGTCTGGGTTAAATGGTTATTTTCACTGTTGTTGTCTTCAATTAAAGGTTTTTCGGTTACTTGGCTACTTAGGAAGTCATCTTCAGTAAAAATGTTTCGATCATATGGCATAATTCCAGTCTTTTTAAAGCTATCCATTGCAGCGTTATAAAACTTCTGAAAAGGCCCGAAAATTCGAACATCTAATGGTTGCAACTTATGCGTCGAATGGGGAGGAAAAGTTAAAAGCGTTACACCGTTTTTTTCTGCCAATTCAATACAATGTATTGATATGTGGCTTTCGTGATTGTCATAAATTAGTATAGAAGGATTTGCTTATGAGGACCCACTACATTTAATAAAATGTTTCATTACATTAATAAATAAATCGGTGTTCATCCAACCCGTCTTAGCTACCAAACATAATGTGCCTCGTGGTGCACCATTGATCATACGACTGTGAAAGTTGAAATACCATTGCAGGTGGTAACCAATTTCCAGCTGCACTTACAATCATGCACGTTGTTACAAGGGTTCCTTTTTCTCCAGAAGTTATCTTGCTGACTTGTTTGGAGCCTCTTTCTCCTAGGATTTTTATATGGTGTTTTTGTTGTGTGATGGTAGCAGTTTCGTCTAGGTTAAAAACCCTTGTTCCGTTACTGAAGTGTTCACTTCTCATATAACATGTATGTAATTTATCAAAAAACAAATTTACATTGGTTTCATTGAATGCTGCAGCTACTCACTTTCCTGGAATTTAATTTCCCTCACTTTTGCGCGAGAAGATCTGGATAGGAGTTTTACCGCTTCATATTCCTAGGCTGCAATTAGTTTCTCCCTCAGCGTCTTGTGATGTTATAGACGTAGGACTTGCTGCATTTCCGCATCTTGTAATCCATCAATGATTGCCTCTATTTCGATTTGTTCTTGGATATCTTTGGGCGCCTCTGGATAGGGCAGATAAATCAATATTTTACTGTCGGCCCCGAATTCCTGTAGACTCTCATTATGTTTTTGACTACGATTTTTTAGCTAGCTTTGAAATACCAGTTTCAAATGCTGCCGGCCATATCTTTTTTCCAAAGCTTGGATGAGAGATGAATAACTGGAATCTTCTTGAAGAAGCAACTGTAAAACGGTTGTTGCCTGTCCTCGCAATGACACTATCAATGAAGGCGCCATCTCTTCCTCAGTCTAGCCATTGGCTCTAGCTGCAGCTTCAAATTTCTTTTCGCCTTACTCTCTCCTCTTCCATCTTCAAAAACCATGCTGGTGGGCCTGAAGTATCCATAACTGCTTCGTACTCAGTGGATCTAGTATTTACCATGAACTTTTACAAAGTTTCGCTAAACATATATCTTTAACGATTTAATTGTATAGGTAAATATTTAAATTTAAATATTCTTTGTGATTACGAATGTTAGACAACAATTATTTTATAAGCGATTAGCATAAATTACTACTAGTTAAATAATGTACTTTTTCTAAAACACTAATAATTAAGTCGATCATAAATAATAACTTATTTAAAGCATTAGTTTGTAATTGGTTACAACCTTTAAAATGTTATAGAATGCATAGAATTATTACTAATACATTTTAAATCAATGTTTTGTTTTTTCTTGTCATACAGGGTGTCCCAAAAAGTTTTATACAAATGGGAGAAAGTTTTATCTTTTATTTCACAAAAATTATTCTAGATAACAAGTTTGCATCGCTTGGGAATACATAATCAAGCATTAAATTTTGTAAAATATACGTAGTTACATAAAAAATAAAATAAATAAATAAATACACTGATTTATATTGAAGAGAAAAATACTTTACAATTTCAAAATAGATTAAAATATTAAAAAATGTTAATAATAATTAAAAAATATGCTCAAGTTTAAACTATTACACTTATATTTAAATGATTTCGATTCACTTTATTTAATAAATAATCCAAAACCAATGTTAAAGTGTCTAGGTACTGACGATTTTTTAATTTTACAAATTTCATGCTTCATGGATTTTAAATGCAGAACATTTTATTAAGAATATTTTTTTTTGTGAAGTGTAAGATCCCTTGGGGACATAAAACCTTTTTGGGACACACTGTTTATACATATTATGAAATATCTTACCCTGAATCTCAAATTATTTATTGGCGGCTGAGCAAAAGGAATTCCTTCATATGAAAAAAATTGAGTTTGTTTAGTGGTTCTCCTTTCTCTTCCTTGTACAATACCAGTTTTTGTTGACACTTGTAAAGTTTTATTCTAAAAAAAAAATAAAACAAATTACTTAATATGGAATATAAACAAATAAACGGTTTGAAAATAATAAGAACAATAAATAATATTTATCTAATAAGTGACGCAGCCAGAAACCATAAACACAACATCGTGAAAAAGGTTTAAATACCAATGATATTTAAATTTTAATGTGGCACTATTGACAGAATCGACGCAAGGTTAATAACCATTTTGGAATCTGCGTTTGTGGTGTGTAGTGTATTTAAAATTTGCTAGTTCTACCGGGTCTGCAACAATAACCTACTCCCACGTGATTTGGTAACATCAAAAACGTAACGAAAATGCCTGATTTGACGTAAAAGTAACTAAACTGGGCTGTCAGTTTTGTCAGGAATGCCACTGGTGTTAATTTGGGGATTGACGGTATTTATATTATACAGGGTGTCTGTAAAAGGTCTTTACAAAAACATACCACATATTTCTTAGACCAAAATAAGTCGATTTAAGTAAAATTACCTTAGTACAAAGTTGCTTCGTTTGGGCTCCAAAGGGCCTTGAAATTACAATTTTTAAATCGTTTTTCCCATATAAATTTAAAACGGCATATGCTATTTTGCTGAAATTTGGTATATTGGTAGAGTTTTATGTGACAAAAAAAATGGTATTAATATTTTGTCCGATAATAATACATAGGCGTAGAACTTGATTTTTTAAATAATTGCACCTTTAAAAATTCTACGCCAATGGAAGAAAAGGAGTTTGAGTATGAAATTTAGATTGCGCAACTGATTTACTTTAAAAAAGGTACTCTTGATAAGACTCAATTACTCCCATGATTTTCGCTAAATTTCTGTTTTAATAATTTAGAATGTATAGGTTTCACAAAAATATTTATTTACAACATAATCAAAATAGAGATTTTACAAAAATTGTTCAAAATGTTCACCATTTTCACGCATACAAAGATTTATACGTCGAAGAAAATTAAAATGTATCCTTTCCATAACTTCTTCACCACCTCTAAGATTGTTTATTGCATCTTGCATATTGCCAGAGTTGTTTCTCATTTTCTACAGGTTCTCTGTAAACTGTGAATTTCAGATGTCCTCATAAAAAGTAATCCATCGGTGTTAGGTATGGGGAACGTGGTGACCAGTTTACAGGTGGGGGTTCACAGTAGCAGAATATAGATCACGATCACTGTTTTAGAAAGGTGTATTATATAATTTCTAAAACACTGAAAGTTTTTTTCATACATCTGTACTGATACCTATATTCTGTCACTGTGAATCCCCCCATGAGCAGCCACTGATTATAGGAAAGACCAATCTTAATTTCATACGAGCAATCACCTCCTTAAATTTTACCTATGAATTTAGAAACACCTTGTATATTTTTTTAATTAATAACTACAAATTATTATCTGTTTATAACCTCTCTGTTCTAATATAACAAATCTATTACAGTCTGTTCGCTATACTTACGCAGGTTTCGGATTAACAAAATTTTGCAAATTAGTCATTGACAACCAGTTCCAATAATCCTCTTCCCAAGAAATTAGGTAAAATTGCCCTAATGGTCAGACTTATATTAAAATAACATTAGGGTAGGTACTAAATTTGTTACAAATATTGCAGTTGAATTGATTCTTTGCAAGTGTTGACATTGTATGTATATTGTAAATTTAGTGGAAATTTAAAAAATGCCTAGACGTGTGTTAGATGTAGATAGTCTAATTTGTAGTGTACATAAGTATTTTACGGATGAAAAATAAAATGGCGGTCCTTTAAAATCGGTAATGTCTGTACAACAACGTGTATGCGATGCTCTAGGCATTAGTGAAACCAAATTAAGAGGAGTATTACAAAATCACAATAGTGAACTGCCGAAAGAAGATCACTGCAAAACTTGCCCATCGTCGAAAACGAAAGATATTCCAGATGGAAAGAAATTTGAAATTTGTGATACCATTTATCGAATGAGGGCCAACAAGGAACATGTGACCTTAAATACAATTCTCTCGGAATTAATAGATCGAAAATTTGACGACATTGGCAGAACAAGTTTATGGCAAGTGATACATAACTTGGGTTTCAAATTTCAAAAGGAGGATAACAGAAAGGCCCTTTGTGAAAGAAGTTCTGTTGTGCATAAGAGAATTAACTTTCTAAGAAAATATTCTAAATTTAAAGAAGAAGGGGCGAATTTTGTATATTTAGACGAAACATGGATACTTTCTAGGGGTGCAACCAAGAGAATATGGCAAGATTATAACGTACAGTCCATCAAACATACCGATGGAGAAGGGAAACGACACATAATTTTACATGCAGGAGGGAAATCGGGTTTTATAGAAGGTGCTGATTTAATATTTTCATCTAAATCAAAATCCAGTGACTATCACGATGATATGAACACAGAAATGTTTGTAAAATGGTTGCATGAAGAACTTCTCCCAGGTTTAAGTGAGCCCAGCGTAATTATTTTAGACAATGCACCTTACCATTCTGAAGTATTAAACAAAAGTCCAACAAATTCTTGGAGTGTTGATAAAATTAAAGAATGGTTGACAAAGGAACATATACTATTTCCTCAATATATATTAAAATCAGAATTATTACGCTTGACAAATGTACACGCAAAAACCTTTGTTCTGGAATAGATTATTGAAAGTTACGGTCTCAAGTTTAACGTCTGCCACCGTATCATTGCCAGTTTAATCCCATCGAATATATATATGGGGAATAGCAAAACAATATTATGACAACCATATTGTGCCTAATGGTTATAGTGATGACGCAGTTCGGGAAACTTGGCGAAAAGCACTTTCAATTGCTCCAGAAGTGTGGCGGAACTGTATATCCAAGTGCGAGAAGCTAATAGAAGATCGAAAATAAAAACAAACGAAATAAGTCCAATCATAATAACAATTAATGGTGATGACAGTGATGATGATGACGATTATGATATTTTTGATGATAATGACTGATTTTCATTTTTGTTGGCAAGTTTAATTTTTTTATTTTTCATTTGAAATTCTCTACATGGAACAAATTTTTATGTTATAAAATATTTTATTTGAGCTAAATAACCCTCTTATTATACATAGACCATATTTTATGTGTGATGTGTAATATAAAATTATTATTAGGTTTATAATAGCCACATTAGACTCCATTAATGAAGAAGTTTAATTCTGCTCTCAATTATACAAAAGATTCTCCATTATTATTTAATAAAAAGTTGTACATTATTTTTCATTTCATTTTACCAGTTGATATTTCCCCAAAGAACAGGTCAAACTTTCGGGTACTTACCTGGAAATACTCATAAAATTTTTAATCCGGAACCCGCGTAAGTATAGCGAACATACTGTACTTAGTTTTCCAAATATTGAAAATAAGTAAGAAAAAAAGTACAATTAACTTATTACAAATTATAATTTCAATATTTTTAGTTCGTTTTGAAACTAGCAAAATCAGTGAGCGTAAACTTCCAACAAAACGACAAATCTTAAGTTTAGTCTTTTATAAATATAAGTCCCTTGACCTAACTATTTGAAATAGTGCTACAGAAGACGCCAAGGACGTAATTAATATATGGAGCGATTTTAATCTCCCTACAATTATACTATTTTATGTTGTGGGCACAATTGAATGTTCATTCCAGGAATGGAAAAATCTTTTGAAATTCCAAAAAAATAAAAAACTATTGCAAAAAACAAACAAAAATTAGATAAGTTGCTTAATATTTCTAAGAAATCATCAGAACAATTCTTAACTGAAAATTCTGAACAATATTGTCTTCTACATTTATCAAATATTTTTTGTAATCTTCATATAATTTTTTTGACAATTTTTTTAAAGATTTTGAAAAAGTCAGATGACAATTACCCACAAATTTTTTTTTTAAATGAAATGTGTAACATTAAGTGATGGACCTGGATCTGGATGTTATCTAGATTAATATATGTACTTGAAGCTGAAGATGATGTTAATGATTATCTACTTGCACCCCACGTCAATTGAATCTAAATGGTTTTAATATTGTGTATTTTACTAATTATTTAGTATTATTAACTTACTTGGTCATTTTTCTTTAAAAACGTTAAACTTTCGCACTCTAACAACACAATCAAGAAAATTATAGTAGTACTAGCAACTTTCATGCTGGCATCAATAAAATTGATGGACATTAGCTATTATTTAAAATCGATATTTGTTTTTCTAATAACAGTGGCAACAAGGTGATCGATTGAATCATGTATACCATTATTGACGTAATTTTATTTAATATTTATATTTTTTAACAACAAACTGCATTTGAGTAAATTGTAGTAATTATTACATTATATTTCGTTGTTTGGAATTGTATAATTATATAGAGTGGAAAGTATATTGGAAAAATATATTTATGTATAAAAGTGCAAAACTTAATCTACAGGTTGTCCGAAATTCAATCATTATACCAACTGGCGCAACAAATCGAAATATGTGGGTAGCAACGCAACCGCTTTGGTTAATAAATATTTTTTTTGTAGTTATAAAGTAAATATTAGAAATTAAGTCCTATAAAAGAATATAAAGTTGGATTTTAAATTATCTATTAATACTAAACATTTTCATTCCTTCTTGATGTTAATCAGAACACCTCAGACAATCAAATTAAATATGCTTCGTTTAAAGCAAATACAGCATCGATTGTATGAATATTACCAATTTTGAGGTTATGTTTTTCCATAATAACTACTTTGATGTTATTATACAATGTGGTTAAACATTTTATGCGTCTGCTGAACTCAATAAGACTTTAAAACAATGTGAAAGAGACAACAGACAGAAATGTTTCATAAAGTTGGCACTAGATACTAACAACAAATGTTAAGATATAAAACAACTGCAGATTTATTAATCGTAGACATTCTAGCTTTTAGTAATAAGTGTAAAAATAATTTTTGATTTTAAACATCATTTTGATAAGCATTTTAAACTATCAAGCAAAAGAAATTTAATGAATTAATGAGTTCATTTACAATTTACTTATTGTGGCACAGTTTATGGTAATTTTCATGGAAAATCGGATGTACACAGTGCATGGGCGAAGTTAAGGGGGGGCTTGGGGGGGCTAAGCCCCCCCAAAAATCAAATTAGCCCCCCCAAAAATAATTCGAACATTTATCACACATCCACCCAAACATTTCAGATTTCAGAACAGAAATTAAAAAATAAAAAGAATCGTGCTATTTGATTTATTCTGCAATTTTATATTTAGTTCAGGAGGCAGTAAATTTTTTTCGTATTCATTTTTCCAGTCGGTGTATATGAAAAATAAACTGTTCTCTTAGTGACAAAAAACAAAATTTTTGAGTCTGACACTTATTTTCCCAGTCATAACTATTTTATATTTACTAAACTAGAACATAAAGCTTATAAAAATAGCAGTTTGGATTATCTCAGATAGTGGAAAGTGAGTGTGGCAGAAAATTGAGCATATAAATTGATACAATCATGAACTGTTTATAATAATAAGTCTGGCTGATTTACGAAATTGGCTAATGAGTCTGGTAATATCTTCTAAATGGAAAAAATATAATATTTTTGCTTTTATTTTCCCGGGTTTGAAATTGTGTCACGTGATAGATTAAATTATAATTTTACACCTCCATTTTATAGCCAATCAACTGCTGTTATTTCAAAACACTTTCATGACAACCAGAAAAATTTCCGGAAATTTTTCTTTTGGTGGGTACCCTTAACGAAATTATACTGAAAACTTTTTTGACAGTTGAGCAGCTCTTTCATGCATATAAAAAATTTGCCATTTCAGTGGTTAATATTTTATTTAATACCAATTATAACTAGGTAGAAATACACTACATTTATTTTATGTAAAATAATAATTAGGTTTTTTGCGTCAACTAAACGACTTCAACTATGATAAATGGTCATATAAAACATATGTTTTTTATTCTGTGGTATGGCTACCTTTGAAAATTTGATTTTAGTCGTTTTAATGCATGTCTGTCAAGTTTTGAAATTTGGATATTTTGGTGTAAAACTTTCTTACCCAATACCAAAAACGTGCCTAAATTATTATCAGTAAATTTTTGCACACTCACGCATATTTTAAGAACATTATCCATCTACTTAGGATAAATTTCAAAATATTCGTAAGTGAAAATACACGTCTGGCTGACGATTACAATTACGGAGGCCTGCCAGACTCACAAGTAGTGTCCGACCGAAGGTTCGGTTACGGTTTCGGCTAACTTTGGCTTTAAATAATAGTTTCGACTACAGTTTCGGTTTCGGCGGAAAACTGGCCGAAACTGCAGCCGACAGCGAAACTACTTTTAAAAGTTTTCGTATCACAATTGGTTGTGTCCGGCACAATGGCGACTGTGCCGGGTGCCATTCCTACACAGTGCACGTACACACAAACTTCTCTGCTTTGTTTCAAGTGAACATGTCAATAAATTTATTAATGGCTTCTTTTGATCACATAAATAAACAGGTAATAAGTAAATGTAGCTAAAATTTATAATACGAGTTAATTAGTCTAAAACAAGGATTACAATGAGATATTGCAAATTTCAATAAGCCTTAAAAGAAAGTTCTTGTTCCTGTTTCGGCCGAAACTAAAAAAGGAGCCGAAATTTGGTTTCTGTTTCGGTTATAAAACCGTATTTCGGTCGGACCTGACAAGCCAGGTAGTTAAACGAGGAGAGGAATAGTAATCGAACGTGCCGAATTTACCGCGCCTGACGGTCATTAGACGAGTCTGGCAAGGCTTTCGGGGTGTTCCACATTAGCCAGATTGTATTTTAAGCTGTTATCATAATATACATTTTTCTAGTAGTGAGAACACTTGTAACAGGGATCCTTACTGGACATTGCCAACTAAAATGACACCTTAGTAAACTGAGAGTAGTAGAAGATAGTGCAGATTTTGTGAGGAGGAGGAAAAAATCTTCATTCACATTCTAACTAAATGGGGAGCACTTCAGAATCCAAGGGCACTATACCTAGGAGCATATCAAATAGAGGGAGATTTACCTAACTTGAAGCCACTCCAAATGCTACACTTCCTTGAGAAGATATAATTGGAAGGATCTTTATTCGCGATTCAAGCTAAGTGATACGTCCTCTGGAGGAAATTTGTAGAAGGTCCCTATAAGTAGGATATCGTTCAGTGTTGCCAGAAGTAGCAAAATTTCACTACTTCGTCGGATTTTAGCTCTTGAAGAAGTGGATAAGACCTTTTATTTAAGAATCAAAATTTGTGTATAGTAATGGGTAATCATACTCTATATTTATTTAAGGACTTTTTTATAAAACCGATTTATTATATTAATTTTTTTTATTTCAGTTCATTTATTAATTTTGTTTTAAAATCAGTTCATCATTTGGCAACAAGTTCATTGTTTACATTTTAATTTGTATCAATTACAATTCGAGTTTTTCTTACTTTTTAGCTTTAAATTTGTTTATTTCTTATAGTATGTGATAGTGTTTATGCTAAAAATGAAATCTGCGAAAAAGTCCCCAGCAAATTGCAATCTATATGGTGTTAATGTCAAAATCAAAACTGAAGTATTCATTATTTTCCAAGTACAAGTCGTAAAATTTAGTTTTTTACCATAAATGGATATCTACAAATTCACAATATTGAAATTTTGCAGAACTTTGTTTAGAATCGATATATGATATTTTATCCATTTTCATAGATTCGCCAGAATTTTTTTACTTAACTTCAGTAGGTATACCTCTAGAACTATTATATATTATATGACTAGGGTTAGGGCTTTAGCCCCCCCCAGATCTGATGACATAACTTCGCCCATGACACAGTGTTCAGAAAGTCCAAAATGTATGGTTACGATTAATTTTAGGCATTCGAAAAAAAATACAAAGCTTGTTCAATTGAAACCCCTTTAGTCGGGTTAGTATTAAAAACAATGTGGTGTTTGTAACCGTCATACTGTTATTTCTATATCTGTGAGGTGAAGGAGGATAGGTTGCTCTACATCACTTAAGCTTTACTAGGCTTATTGTTCATCCTCCAGGAGCTGCTTCTCAACTTGCAAAGTTTGTGCGCATTACACAGGTAAAAATAATAATATAATCAGAGCTAAAACAATACATAATAGACTTAAAAATTAGGTACAATAAAAGAATGATAAAAATCAAAGTTTTAAAAATTATCTTATAGGTATATAAATACCTCGGAGGTAAATTGCATTATGTAATTTTTGAATATTCTTTGGACACTTTTGTGTTCCGTATTTACATATATCAATTATATTTCAACAAGAAATGCAGTTAGCCCCAATTATTGACTATCCTCAGTGCTCTATTTTGTAATTTCTGAGAATGGCACAAAATTAATCGAAAAACATTTGATCGAATTGGAAATTTAATCGAAAATGCATTTTATCGAATGGCATTTGATCGCAAATACATTTGATTGAATAAAATTTGATCGAAGATATATTTTATCGAATAACATTTTATCGAAAAGACAATAGATCGAAATTTCATTAAATCGAAAGGACAATATATCGAAAATCAACATTAAAAATTCAAACGACTCCATGCAATTGTCCATCTAATCCTTACTACCAGGAAAACTAAACTCAGCTGCTTATTAGGTAGGTACTAATAAAAAATTAAAATATTAACTAATTTACCTAACCTGTGCGGCCTGGAGTCGTCGAGGGTTGCTTCGTAAAAAAATATTCAAGAAAAAATTAACTAATTTACCTAACCTGTGCTATTTAAATTTAACTGATTGCTCTCGTACAAGTTAGGTAGGTTGGTTAAGTTTGTACCTAACCTGTACGGCATGCAGCAGTTGCAGTTGGCCTTGCAAAAAAATATAGAAAAATTAAGTCAAAAATTTTAACTAATTTATCTAAGATTAAGATTTAATTAGGACTATGGGCCGTGTGGCCTCCCCCACCTCGACCTTTTCAGATCTATTGTGGATATCCTTTAATCATTGTTTAGAGTACCTTGTCTAATTCGGTCTTTTGTAGTAGACTCCATAGACTGGGAAGTAGTTCTCCGGTATAGCTAGTTGCCCTTGGTTTTTCTTCTCCAAGTGTAAGGAATCTCAGTCTTACTAGACCTTCGCAGTAGCACAATACGTGTTCTGCCGTTTCCTCTTCTTCTTGACAGAATCGGCACAAGGCCTCTTCTGTCAGACGGATATTGAACATATGTTTGTTAAGCCTACAATGCCCTGTTAATAGACCTACTAGTATTCTAGT